CGTCTCCGCCTACTCCCTGCTCTACTCACTGCCGTTCGCGGAGCGGGTGCGCCCAACGACGGGGGCACACTGCAATGCGTCGGCTGCGCTGTTGTGTACTTGCTGCTAGCGCCAGCAGCAGCCGGGGCACGCGCTGCCGTTGGCGCGCTCGTCCGGCCTCGCTGGGCGACCGTCGGGGGTCTAGCAGCAGCAAAAAAACCCGTGAAGGCTGCCCCTGGGCAATCGTTCACTACTACCCCGCGCTTGCGGTCGCGTGCGCTCGCCCCAACGCCGTTTCTCTCAGGTGTGGAGCTCGGTGGTGGAGCCGGCGGGTGGCTTCCTGCTGACTCAGGCTGGCGCCGCGTTTGATTCGCTTGCGCCGACAGCTGACAAGCTGCTGGCGGACGCGGGCTGGGAGACGGGGCTGGGGGAGATCTAGGTTGCTGTTGGTCGGGGCACGGTGGTTGCTGCCCCTCCTCTTCGCGGCAGCATGCATGTAAGGTGCGGCGTGGTACACAAGATGGCCAGTTGGCTGACAGTAGTTGCACCACGGGTGTTCAGGCGCAGCCCGGCGTGTGCGCACTGCCCTGAAGTGAGAGCGAGCCATCATGCGAGGCGTCAGCACAGCGTGCCCGCCTTGCAGGCATGCCGCTTGACAACCAGGTGCTGTACGTGCATGCGGCAGTCCAAGGGATATCTTGAAAGGTAATTGAGCAATGGCACCGTCGAACACGGCAGGGCGAGTCGCGGTTCTGGAGTTCTCGTGTCACTGGAGACCAGAGGCCGTCAGCCCAGGCAACACACATTGGTCCCCTACTGCTCGAAACATCACTCTGCTTTGATAATCGCATTCTTCGCGACAACATCGCAGCAGTCGACCCAGCGTGCGGCCCGCGATCGTTCCACACAGGCAGAGCGCTGATCCTGCAGGCAGCCGTCGGCCTCAATTGCCCCGCAGCCGCCCACAATGCAGTCCCAGCTCGTTGCTAGAACCATCAGCCGCGCCGCCGTCGTCGGCGGGCGGCGCTGCAGGCCCGCCGCGGCGCCGCGCCCGGCGCCCCGCTGCGTGCGCGTGCGCGCCTGGGAGGAGGAGCTCGAGGAGCTGCCGCCGCTGAACCAGTGGCCCGACCCCACCTTCACCGCGGCGGTGCTGGAGGCGTTCCCCGAGCAGGGCCTGGGTGAGCCGCGGCCGCGGCGCACGCGGGGCGGGCCAGGGGTGATGTTTTCGGGGGCGCCTGATAATATCTGGGCCTTCAGCATATCGGGCCCTGACAGGTCAAGAGGCGTCTCATCCCATAGCCTTCAAAAGCCCCACGCAGGGGCAAGCGATTGCTCTCATGAACCAGTGCAAAGGCCCGCGAGTATGCGTCTCTCCTCGCGCCCGAAACCGCACCCCGCTCCCCCATCCCCGCGCGCCCGCGGCCGACCAACCTCGGACGTCACACCACCACTCGCCGCCGCCGCGCCCGCCGCAGCCAACGTGGAGGAGGCGCGCGTGCTGTACGAGAACGGCTGGACCTACCTCGACGTTCGCTCCGAGTTCGAGTGCGACGAGAGCGGCAAGGTGAAGGGCAGCGTGAACGTGCCGTTTGTGACCATCAAGCGCGTCTACGACCCCGAGAGCCAGCAGCGCGTGATCAAGAAGACGGAGAACAAGGACTTCATCAAGGTGCGGCGCGGCGCGACGGGAAGCCGCCGGGAAGCTGCGGGGCGCAACCCTGGGCAAGGGCGGACGAGCTTCGAGGCGCTTGGTGTTGCAGGGCATGAGAGCCTCAGTGTGGTGTGGCGTGAGCGTCAGCATGCGCGGCCCGGGCGGCGCGGCTGCGCGCCGCGCGCCGCCTGTGCGGCCCGAGCGGCGGCGGGCGCGCCTGCTGCCGTCCGCTCCTCGCAGCACCTCAACGCGCCGCTGCTCTCCACGTGCGTGCGTCCTCACACCACGCCCCCCCCCCCCCCTCGCACACCCCCCCTGCAGGGTGTTGAGAAGAAGTTCCCGAACAAGAAGGCGGCCAAGCTGCTGGTGGGCTGCTCCAACGGCAAGGCCTACTCCCTTGACGTGCTCGAGGTGGGTTTTGGGAGGGAGGGTGTGGAGTGCAGTGTGGTTGCAGGGTGGTTGCGAGGGGGTCGCAGTGCGTGTGCAGGGTGGTTGCAGCGTGGTTGCAGGGCACGCTGCTGCTCGTGCTGCACACGCTGACTGAATTGTTTGCGTCGATCGTGCTGTGTGTGATGCGTGTGCTGCATGCCGTGTGCTTGCTGCATACGCTGTGCGAGCTGCGCGGGCTCGTGCCTTGGCGATCTGATACTTTTGTGTGCACACTCGTGTCTGCGGTAAATGAGGGCGATGCGGGCGCTGAGCATGTGCGCAGCTTAAAGCGAGGTCAGCCTGACGCAGCCCTGCTGCCAACCCACTCACCTGCACGGCCTTTTTTCATCTTATTGCACCACCCCCCCCCCCAAACAAAACCATCCAAACAGCTCCTGGATGAGGCTGGCTATGAGAACCTGGCGTGGCTCAAGGTGGGGGGGG